GATATTAATCACTAAAACTAGTAATAATATTTAGAAATTAATATACTACACGTGTATCCATATAATGCAAGCCATCTAATTACTATATGACACTCACTTTCAATGGGAATTTAAATAAAATAGTACAAGGATATAATTACGGTTCCTAACTCTTTTTTTTTTTTTAATTATTATGTATTATATGTTTATGTAAATTTTTAATTTTAAGCTTATGCATGCTCGCCAATAATCGGACTCGTTTCCACTAGGCAAGAGTTTTTAGGGTTTTTTTTAATTGTTGTTAATTAATCTAAATCGTTTTTTGTTAAACTATAATTATAGCTTGGATTAAAAAATAAAAATAAAAAAACAAAAACAATTAGGAACTTGGCATATATATTGAACTTTTAATTTACTTAGTCCGACTCTATTTGATTTCTCTTCATATTATAATTTAGTCCTTTTCTATTCACGTTTAGTAGGTTAATTACGTACTTATGTGCAAGGGTAGCAATTTGGTTCGGGTCTGGAATTACCCAGCCCGACCTGTTCTATTTCATTTTTTTTTCCCACTTTGCTTCTATTGGAAAGTTAGTTATTTTTTTTTATTTTTTATTTTTTAAAATTTATTGAATAAAAGGAGCTGAGATTTTAAAGTTGATAATTGTGTGAAAATTTAGATTTGATTTTGAGTTTGTGAGTAGATACGAGTTAAAATGTAACAATTAAAGTTGTCGTGGTGTAATAATGTTATTAATAATTACAATTAATTGCTATACGTAATTAAAAATATTTGAGTAGATATTTAAATTTCACTGAAATTATGTAACAATGATCGATTGATATCATTTAATTACATTGATAGTGAACGGAGTAATTCATGTTAGATGAATATTAAGCATGTTTGTTTATGAAATTTTTCAAAAAATTTCCAACATTTTAACTCAACCATTTTTTTTTTAACTCAACTTTAACTTAGCCCCACTATCATAAAAATTATCAATATAATTAAATAATATCAATCGATCATTCATACACACTACATCAACCTTAATTCATTATTCATCCTCTCACATTATTTTAACTAACCATCACTTCAAATCTCTCTCTCCTACTTTTACATCAAATCAATTTTAATTATTTTATTTTAAATATTATTTTAATATACCCACTAACAACTAACCATACCACATTTTTCAAAACTAACCAAACCAAATCAAAAAATCTAAACAAAACCAAAAATTTTTATAAACAAACATGCTCTAAATTTTGTCTAAAAAATTTATATCTAATCGTAGTACCATTAGAAAAATTATCTAACGAGTAAAAAAAAAATAATAATAAAAAAAAAAAAGGAGGAACGCACATAAAATAAAATATTGTGATTATTAGCCAACAAAAATTGACGGATTTTGTCTACATGATTTCAATAATTCAGTAGTCAAAGATCAGAACTTACTACACAGTGTTTTTCAACAAATTAAAGCCCATATAACATATTCAAAATTACTAAAATACGACACGTATGTGGTTGCATTACACGATTTTAGCACAAACGTGTCACATTTATAGATCAAATATTTCAATAAAATAGCTAACCAGACATATTTGAACCAATCGAAAGGTCAGTTTCCAAAGGTCACATTGTGAATTAAATGTACCTTTGAAGCAAACTTCTATACAAAAGATAATGAGTACCAAAATTTAATCAATTGGAGTTGGAATTATGGTGCTAATAAATGCTCAACTACACATATATCCATAGATAAGCTGACATATGTCCAGATAAGATTTAACAATTTTTATTAATGTAGAGAGAAACTAGTGAGAATCGCACGGGTTTCTGTATTTTAGGACTTTTTAAATTTTATTTTCACAATATATTAGCATGCTGATATGTTTATATTATTATAAATAATATTTTAAGATATATATTTATTTTTTAATACAAAATAATAATAATTTTATATATTTGTTCATCATAATACTCAATTATTAATTAATTTATCAAAAAATCTATTATCATATAATGTTATTATTATTTATAACACTTGTAGAAGTAATATATTTGTTATATAATGATAAATATGTAATATATATTAATATTATTTATTGATATAATTAATTTAAAAAGATATAAGAAAATTTAATGTTTGAGATTATATGTAAGTTAAGATAAAATGAAATGTATAAAAAAAAACTGTTTATGATATTTTCCTTTAAATGTTTGAATGAATTTGAAATTTAAATTACAAATCAACCTCCAGTTATTCAAATAATTTAAAAAAAGTTACCAATTATAGTAAAATGTACGTGACAATATATTATAAATATACATGACGTCAGTAATGTTATGAATCTTTAGGTTCCTAAAATATATGTTGTTTAGATATGAAACTAATTAACTTATATGTTAAGATAATATATATAAATATATGTATTGTACGAAATATACACGTGACAAGTTATTATATTTGTTTATATATTTTTTGTATTGTTTATTATATTTGTATATAAATATATTATTTATATATTTGTCTGTATTGTACGAAAAATTATTATATTTGTTTATATATTGTTTAGATATGAAATTAATTAACCTATATGTTAAGATAAAATATAAAAATATGTATTGTATGTAATCTTAAACGTGTTTGCTAAATTTTTTCCCTAAAAAATTACATTTAGACATATTTTGTTTGAAGTTTGAAATTGAAATATGCATCTATATAACAAATCTCACGATTTATGCTAGCATTAAATGCTACTTGTTTTTTTATTAAAAAAATAAAAAAACATACCAAAAATGAAATGTAATTAATATTCCCTATTTCTTTGCTTACTATTTTTTAAAAATGTTAATTCTTATTTTATATATATAGATTAATAAAAGAGGGACTCAAGTGCTCATAGTAAGCAATATTATTTACTCTTAATAATTGCTGGAAGAAATTTTCAAGAGTGGTTTAACAATATTATTGTAGTCATTTAAGTCCACGTGTCCTCTTAACCATAAACAAGATTTTTTCCCAAATTGTGTTTGATAAATTATATGACTGAGTATAATTATCGATCATCTCGTTTAAATAAGAACATCTTTAGTGTGAAAATTGTGAGGACTTTTTTTTTTTATTAATATTTCCTGTGTAATGTTATTTTTTTACTGTGTTCGTTGTTTTTCAATTAGGATTATTTTTTTAACAGCAAAACCATAAAGATACAATCATATATGTATATGATATATGACATAAAATTAGTAAAATACAATTAAAATTAATATCACATTTGGTTCTCATGGTGCCCATGCAAATAATACTTCTCATTTGCTATATTTCCTATCAATTTTGTACACATAAATTTAGTAGATGTATGTAGTGGTGTCTATGCACATATGACATTAATATGCCTACTTTTTTGGAGTTTTGAGTTGCTCAAAGTGATGAATGGAGCGAAATAATTGTTGGGCTGATTTGTAGGGAAGTATTCGTACTTGATAGAGAGAATGAAAGCCCAATATTAAACAAAATTTGGGCTGTGAACTGAAGCCCATAAAAATCTTTTGTAGACTTAAAAGTTGCATATACCAATTGTGATTGTGATTTGTGTTGTGTGTTTAGTCATTGGGCTTAACAGTTAACACCAAGTAATTGTATATTGGACCTCACCCTAGTTAGCCATTGCGGGCTTAAAAGCACGTAGCTTTCCTACTTAGGTCCCGAGTGGAACCAATATTTTTTTTTTTATTCGACTTAATTATCAATTTTTTACACTTTTTAACTCTAGTTACAACTTAAATTTAAACAAAATCAACTCTATTTAATATTTTTAATATAATTAAATTATATCAATTAATCATATTTACACATAAAAAAGCTTATAATTCACTAACATATTTTTAATCACTTTCAATCAGAGTTCTCATACTTTTACATCACATCAATTTTTATTGTTACATTTTAAATAATATTATAAATATAAATTCAAAATCTCCACTCACTCAACTTTATTCAAAATTAACTCATTTTATTCAACAAGTCAAATTCAATCCAGAATTACTTATTACCAATGGCACCCTTTTTCATTTAATCATAGTCCACTCACTTAGGTCTTAGCTAGTCAGTCTTGTTATGCTCAACCATGTCTAGACAAAAAATAGCTCCAAACCAAAATTGTACTAAAAGTCGCTTCAAGCCAAAATTGTACTGCACTATGATCCAAATGTAATTTAATCCATATTGTTGATTTTACAGAAACATAGTCTCAGTAGGTAGTAGGTACCACAATTTTTAACCTTAAACAATTGATTGAAATATTGATACATACCTGATATGAATGAGATGACCAATCAAGTTAGCCTAAATCAAGGGTCTAAACCACATCAAGCCACAGGCTGTCACTAACCCAGAAACCAATCCGCTATCAAGCAACTAAGAACATGACTAAACTAAACAAACTATTAATTACTACAGTATAATGATGAAATTTCAATGGAAAAATCCAACACAATATATTTTAAGGGAATTCTAATGGAAATTCCAACAAAAATATATCGTTGGAATGAGTTTTTTATTGGAATTTCTGTTGGATTTTGACGATTCCAACGGTAGATTTTCCAATAGAGGTGAAAATAAAAATTCCAACAGAAATTGCATATTCCAACGAAAATTCCTATGGTAAAAAACCATTGGAAAAATAGCCGTTGGAATCATCAAATTCAATCTAAAATTTCAATGGAAAACTCATTCCAACGGAATATTTTCGTTGGAATTTCCGTTGGAATGATTCCAACGGAAGCTATACCATTGGAATATCCGTTGGAATATATTACCGTAGGATTTCCTGTTGGAATATAATATTTTTTTTGTACTGAATCCACACAAATTAATCAACCCAACAAAACATAACACATGCAACCAAATAACCAACAAACATAATTTCAAAACCACACAATATAAACCCAATTACACAAAATCCCCAAACAAAATAACATAAATTTAACTTCAACCTTAACAACAACAAATTCAATCACTAGCCCTAGTCAAAGATTTGAACTTCACATCCCAACCCAACATCTTCCTCCCAACCTCAACCTCAAACGTATCATACCTCAAGAAAAACTCCACCAACATCAACCTGCACAAAATTACCACCATACCCTTCCCGGGACATTGCTTGTTTCCGACCGCTGGATCCTCCGTCTCCGGCCCATTCGACCAATAAACGTACTCCAACAACCTCTCCCCATCCCCCACGAACCTCTCCGCCCAAAACTCGTCCGCGCGTTCGAAAACCCTCGGGTCCCGAGTCGCAAACGGTTGGTACCCGAACAACATCTCCCCTTTCTTCACCTCGAAACTCGAGTCGTGGCTCCGAACATCAAAGTCGCACTTCGCCCGCCCATACTGATACGGCACGGGCGGGTCGAGCCTCAACGCCTCATAAACCACCGATTTCGTGAGCACCAACTGGTCGAGGCCCGTTAGGGTTACGGGCCCGTTCGGTTCGAACACGGCCCGTATCTCGGCCCGCAACTGTCGGTGCAGGGCTTCCCCCGCGCTGCCGACCCACTTGATTAAAATCGGGAATAGAGCCTTCATCCCTCCGTACGCGTTGAAACCGGCGAGAAAAACGAGGTTGTGGCATGCCTCGTCTCGCCCGAACCCTAATTTCTCGGCCTCGTCGAGGAGCGGGCCCGCCGAGTCTCGGAATGCTCGGTAGAGCTTCGCGTAGCCGTTTTTCACGAGCGCGAACGGGATCGGGAACGTGTGGAGGATTAGGTCCTCGAGGAAGCTCGGGACAAACTTCAACCCGAGTTTGACGAGCGGCGCGAGTTGCGCGAAGAGCCACAAGTCGACTAGTTTCGGGCCGTCGGGCCCGAGCTCGGTTTCCGACGGGCTTTTTCCGTCGCACAACAATCGGAACACGAATTCGAACGAGATGGAGTCGCTTAGGTCGTTGAAGCCCGAGGGCCCGCCGGACGAGACGCGGGCCTCGAGGCCCGAGAAAAGCCCGACGAGCGACTCGCGGAACAACGGGACGATTTTGTGGTGGCTTTTTGCGAGGAGGTCGAGGAAGAAGGCCTTGAGGAGGGCGTGCTTGGGCTCGGACGGGTCGAGGTAGGCGCAGGCCCGGGCCCGGCCCGTGAAGGAAGTGGAGGGGACGAAGGTGCCGTCGAGCACGTCGCGTTTTTCGACTCGGGAGTTGTCGAAGAGGGTGCGGAAGCTGAGGGCGTCGAGGAGGCATATGACGCGTGGGTCGCGGGCCATGAATGGGCCCGGCGGCATGTTGGTGCGGAATACGGTGGAGTTGTGTTTTTGCATTCGGGCCCGGAAGAAGTGGGCCTCGCCCTCGGTGTAGAAGTAGCGGAAGCGGTCGCGGATGGGCCCGAAGAAAGGGGGACCGTAGTCGCCGGGGATTTTTCGGGCCGGGAGGTTTGGGTTCGGGTCGGTCATGATTTGGTGATGGGTTTATGGGTTATGAGATATGAGAGGTGAAATGGTCAGGGCGTGAGAGGGTGTGTGTGTGTATATAAGAATACAAGTATTTTTTGGGGAAGGTGTAAGATTTTGCTTACGTTTTTTGTTTTGTTGAAACGTGAATTCATTGAATTCATTGCATCTGATTTTTTTTTTTAAAAAAAATGTCTAATATTGAGATGAAAAAAGATTGATATAGGATTAGTAGGTAAGAACATATAAATGAATTAGTAGTATTTTTTTGTTGTATATTATATAGTAACAATTGTTTTTTTATTTTTTAAATTATAAATTAGAATGGTGGAATAGGTAAAGAGTAATTTCTGTAAAAAAAGAAAGTATTTCAATTTCAATAGAATAAATGTACACTAAAAAGTGCTTTTCAGAAGGCATTTTACAAGTATCACTTTTTTTTTATATTTTTTTCACATTTCAAGTGTGATTTTTCTTTTTCACGTGCTGATTTTCTTTTTTCAAATAAATATATATATATATATATGTGTACATATTTTTCTTGAAGAATTTGTCAATTCTAGCTCATCGAATGGTCTCCACTGGTACAAAAAAATTGAAATGTACTATTTTCCCCACACTTGTACTGGATCATTAATTGTAATTTACTTTCCATATCCAAAATTAGGAAAAGAGATTAAAAACAAACAAATAAATAAATAAACTCTCATGTGGCAACTAATGAAATTGTCCCTTTGTCATGAATCATGTTACAATAGAAAATGATCATGTGGGAATTAATATAATTTAGAACTTACTTAACTCATATATACTTGGCCAACTCCTTGATTGGTTAATTAGTATTTGGTCAAAGGATAAATATTAATTTATTATTCAATTACTATCAAAAGAAAAAAAATAATCATTCATGATCATGTGAGATATAATTAAAGAAACAAAACATTGTTTGTCCACTTCACACTGATATTTTAATTGTGTTATAATAAAAGAAAATAATATTGGGTATTTATTTCTTATGAGTCAGTTTTTAACGGGACTAAGTTATCAATAACAGTCGTTCCATTAAATTTAACAACGTACCGGAAGAAAATAATTCACGTCTTTGTTTCTATGGTAGATGTCACAATATTTGAATATTAGTTAAGAAGCCTAACAAGTTTCGTGTAACAAAGTTTTTCACATCTCCTTCATCTTTCCCTTTACTGTACTTTTACCTTTCTACTTTTTTCACGCTACTGTAAGAACAAAAGCTTTCTACTAATGGTAAAGTTTGTATATATGTGGATAGAAATTCAGAAATATAAAAATAATGTATCTTCTGCTCTTACATTTCACACTTTCATATGATATATTATGATTGGGCTCATCAATTATTTTGATCCTATAATTGTTTGTGGACAGAAATTCAGAAAATAAAAAATAAAAAAACATATATCTTCTTCTCTTACACTTCACACTTTCTGTAATTCTGTTAGCCTTTTGTAAACGATTGGATTTTTAGACTTGTGCTTTGAATCAACCCAAATACAAAGACCTTGTTTGGCACCTCTAAGGTAACATATAATGGATAATTGAATAAATTAGGTGATAGGAGATAGTTGATTGAATTAATAGATTTGACTAGCAAATTAGACTAATCGGTTGTGCATAGTGTTTTGTAAACAACTAATTTTATAATTTTTATTTTTTATTTTTGCAAAAAACACATTTTTTTTTTTTTTGAAATTTGTTTTTGCATCACATAGGACACTACTATATATAGTTCAAATATGAAAACCATGCAAAATTCCAATGTTTGATGAAATAAAATTAAGAGCTTGTTTGTTTACAAATATGCCAATAAAATTCAATCTCAGCTTAGAATTTAACTCAATGTTAATTTAACTCCATTTTCTTCAATTTAACTACATATCGCTTCCAATCATCTATCTCATACTCTAACATTAAATTAATTTTAATTATTTATTTTACTTATTTATTTTATATATTATTTTTATTACAAACTTAAAATCCCATTAACAATTAATCATACCGATTTTTTCAAAATTAACTTTAGTTAAAAAAAATACAATCAAATACAAATATATTTGTAAACAAGAAAACATAAACCATTTGTATCAATAATTGAACCCTAATATCACTCCATTTAAATGTATTAAAGAGACACATATCTATATTATTGACAATAAAAAAAAAATGTTTAATTTCTCCTCAATTAGTATGAACTAAACAGGCATTTTTTTATTATTATTATTGGTTATTATTGTGAACCATGTGGGATGTAAATATGCAATCGTGATCTGTATTTAACTATTTATGAGGATCAGCATCCCTGTCAGTTGATTATATCAAATTCTTCAATAATGTGCATTATTTCAAAGAATATATTTTATCAAACATTTTGAGTAGGCAAATCTAACAATTAATAAATCATATTATTTAAATAAATGTACACTTTCTAATTGAAATAAAATATATGCACTAAAAATAGTATAAATAAAAATAAATTTGATATTTATAATACGATTATATTTCTGAGACCGTGTCACTTTAAAATTTGTTTTGTTTTTTAAATTGGACGCAATTATTTCATCAAGGTATGGGTCCAATGAGGTTTGTTAAATTTTAATATATTTAATGGGCCATGACCATTATAAAAGGACTACTAACTTAAATGCACATTTAGTCACCGGAGTATTGAATTAAATACTTGAAAGGCCCATCTGTATTTTATATAGGGTGAAATGCAAAGTACAAGCAAGGCTTGAATTTTAATTGAACTTTCAATTTGCTAATCATTTGTGTGACTTTGTATAGAAAAATAAAATATTCATTATTATTATTATTATTATTATTATTATTATTATTATTATTATTATTATTATTATCATATTTTCTTCACCGTTGAATTAGCTATTCATCTATTTTGTTACAACAATTTTAGTTGTTAACGAACAATTTCATTACACAGCAAACAGTGAACTCCATAATTGAGTCAACTTTTAATATATGACGAGTAAAAAAAAAATAATTACAAAAGAATTAATCATTTTTTTAACTAATTAGATAATATGATTTTTTTTACTTGCACATCGTATAGAAGTTTGAATTTTCTATGGAACTCATTATTAGCTTCATAGAAAAACTTGTAAAGTGTACAAGATTATAAACAAGGATGTATACCAAAAGAAGAAAGAAAAAGGAAAAACAGATTTAGAAAAGAGAGAGAGCAAGCAAGTTAATTTTTATTTAGTTTGAAAAATTGCAGCTTATGGAGAATTGGATTTTGCAAGTGGTTAAGTGAATCATTTTGAAAGCAGCCAGTCGAGCTCAATGGCACGTTGAGGCAAGTTGAGTTGAGTTTCTGATACTCGATCTCTGGCTTGAGCCATTATCAAGTCGACAAGCGAGCCATTATCGAGTCGACAAACGAGCTTGAAGCAGACTTGTTTATCCATATTGATTTAGCATCCATAATATTAATTTCATTCACTCGAGTTTACGACTTAACAATATGTGGTGTGGTTTTTAAATAACTATAAGAGTAATGCTACATTGTCAAACTAGTATACAACTATGTTGACAACATAAGTGAAAACATTTAAAAAAATAAAAATAAAAAAATACACAAGTGGATGTTTTCACTTGTGTTGTCAACTTAATTGTACACTAAGTTGATAATGTAGCATTTTTCTAACATATATAGATTTAGGTATCATTCCTAAATAGATAACCATGTAAGTTTGTGTTACATCTGCTTCTTGATTATATAAGATTTAATTTCTTGATAATTAATGAAACCTCTTTTTTAAGGAATAAAGATTCAGGTTCACTTTCACGATAAATAAGATTTCTGAATTCAGGTTCACTTTCTAGATAAATAAGATCTCTAATTTATGATATTTGTGAGAATACGTCAGGGTGTTTACGCTGTTCGAGATAAGACGGATTGACTTGGAATCTTGATGAGTCAATATTTGAGGAACATCACATATTAACGAGTCGAACTCAAGTTTTTATCGAGCCGACTTAAGGTAAAGTTTCACAAAACTATGAAAAGACTTTTATTCTCAAATTATAGAGAGTTGAAGTCGACTCTACTCGTTAACTAAACGCATTCAAGTTCAACTCGTTTATCGAATGAATCGAGCTCACGAGTTACCCATCTTGTTTGACAGCTAAACAAACGTGCCTCCGAATTAAATAACAATTCTCATTTAAGCTATAAACTGATATTTGCCTACATTTGTTTTCTATTTCATAATATATATTGCTCCATGATTGAAGAAATTTTATTTTTTAATATTTTTAAATCAAAAAACAAATATTTTTATTTTTAGTGTGTTTTTTATCCTTGTTTTAAAAAAACTAATTGCAGAACATTCCAGTTCTATTAATTTCAACGAAACACGTAACTCCAAGACAAATTGGACAGCTGGCAACAACTGCTTTGTTAAAGATTCATAAAATAAAAAAACTGTGCCCCAAATTATTGACCTCCACGTGGCGGCACGACCTTCATCGCCCAATGCCAAATTAAACAAAGACAATTACTTGTTGGCCCTGCAAAATTGACATTAGTTTATCCTTACGAGAAGAAAAGAAAAAGTTTCCAAGCTTATCCCCTTCAAAATTTTCAGTTCATTTCAGATCCATTTTATCAAAATCTTAAAAAAAAAATAAAAAAAAATCCCTTATTTGATAGAGAAAAAAAGAAGTGTTTTTGTGGCAGAACAGATGGATAAAGTGATTGGGGGTAAGAAAAATTATTTAGCCATGAAAACAGATTATGGAGCAGCAAGTGAGTTAATCAGCTCAGATTTGAAGGAAGTTGGGTATGCAGTGAAAAATCTTGCAAACCATGCTGTGATGCTTGGTGGTGGCCTTGGATTTGGGACTTCCTTTCTAAAATGGGTTGCTGCTTTTGCTGCAATGTAAGTACTTCTTTCTTGATTTGTCTGAAAAAAGATGGCATTTTTAGCATTTTTTTTTTTGCTTAATCTGTCGTTTATTTTCTCTGTTTTACATTTTCAGTTTTTGGGTGTGAGATTAGTTTTGTTTTTCTTATGAAATTGGATGAATACTTTTGACTTTAGGATCTTTGACTGGTGGATATGAAAGTATATGTAGAATTAAATATTGTGATAAAACCTTTCCGTGGGTATAAGTAGCGAAATTATATGAACAAGTAAAATATACACCACATTTTGTTGTGGACTATATTTTACTTGTTCATATAATTTCGCCACTTATACAGTTATACTCACTGAAAAAAAACATTTTGTTGTGGTCTATAAAATGTGGAGTATATTTTAGTTGTTCATATAATTTCGCTACTTATACAGTTATACTCACTAAAAAATATATATATATATATACACCACATGACTCTGTAAATTTTTATTTGTGTAGAGGTAAAAATGATAAATACACCACACTACTCGGTAAATGTAAATTTTTATTTGTGTAGAGGTAAAAATGATAAATACACCACACTACTCGGTAAATCTTTGAGTGAGTACAAAATTAAGTAGTAGTAAATTTCACACCACATTACTAGTTAAACTGTTATGTGGATGTTAAAGTACAAGTAATAGTATTATTTATAATATATATTCATTATTATAACTTGGAGTTATTTTTCTTAATCATCAATATATAAAAAATTCTTATAATATCATTTCACCACATATTATTAATTGTGGCATAGCCTACTTGTCAATAATAATGATAATATAGTAAAAGGTCATAATTTTAATTAATATATAAATATAAATATAGAGGCTGGTTCAAATAAAAATTAATTCTGATGTGAGAACCGTGAGAACCATATTTGATGCTATTTTGTATTGTTTATGATGCTATGTTTAATATTACATTGTGCTATTATTTTCACAAATGTTGATATAAATTGTGTTGCTATTTTTAATCAAATACATCCTGATTAAAAATAGCATTAAATATACAATCAATCATAACACTATATATAATAAAAAATAGCGGTTCTCACAGTTCTCACACTAGCACTTGGTTCACAATATATATATATTGTGAGTATCTGATATAGATGAATTGCTCGGGTAGAGCACTCGTGTTGATAATGTGTTATAAATGTGAAGGAAGAGATATCAGACTAAATAGGAACGGAGTATGGAATTGCACTAGTGTGTTTTCTTCATTATATTGGTTGCCTTTTTATAGGCAAACTTTGCAGACAACAATTTCAACTTTGCCTAGTTTCACTATCTGTATTTCACATTTCACCTAACTGCACTATTCGTAATAATAAATGATCATTAAATGTGTTAAGTCCATTTTTCACAATAGTTTTATAAATATTTGCACAATTAATGCAATTCAAAAAAATAAAAATAAAAAATAAAATGTGATCCCTAGAATATTCATGTTGTTCTGTAAACATATGGGTTTATGTTCAGTTGTTGTGCGATCCATATGTGATATCCAGAGTCATCAAACAGTATTTCTAGGACATTGTGATTGATTAATTTACAATGACATAAAAGCTGAGTTTTATCAGAATCTCATAATAGGTGAGGGGATACTTGTCTATAAAGATTAAAGATGCAGATTCAAATGGATCGTTTTGTAATGTTAAATTAGCTTTATCCAATATTTATACTCTTCATGCTCATAAGCTTATAAGAGAAAGAAAAAAAAAAAAAAATCATTTTCTCCTTTTCTTACTTAAATTGCAGCTACTTGCTGATCTTGGACCGAACAAACTGGAAAACCAATATACTCACATCACTTTTGATCCCATACATTTTCCTCAGTCTTCCTTCATGGTTATTCCACCTCCTGAGGTAATTCGTTTTTACGAATTTCGTACATTTTTTATTTATTATTAAGTTAAGTTCTAAATAATGAAAAAAAACAGGGGAGAGGTCGGAAAGTGGATCGCTATAATTGCTGTCGTATTGCGCCTTTTCTTCCCCCGACGTTTTCCAGGTAATCTTTGTAAATAGTACTCCCTCCTATTTTTAATAAATGTCGTTTTGAGAAGTTGCACAGTAATTAAGAATAATTTTTTTGTCAATAATAACCCTCATTAATGAGGATAGAGATTGATGTTTTGAGAAAATATAGAGAGTGAATATGAAAAGACGTAATGTATTTATTAGTTAGATGAGGGTAATAATGGAAAAATATGTACAAAATAGCCAAAACGACATTTATTTAGCAAATGATCAATTAAGTCAGAATGACAAATAATAAAAATAGGAGGGAGTACAAAATTTTATCGGCTTATAAAATCACAATTAAGATATATTATTATTTTTTGTTAGAACAACGAGATTTATGACATCAAGTTCTGAAACAAAAGTTTAAGCATTAAAAAAAGTCGTGAAAAAATAATAAATAGAGACCAAAATAGAAAAATAAGTCAGCGTGTACAAAAAAATTTAGTTTCGCACACAACACCAACATTATAACATATTTTCATTGCAAAAAGCAAGTTTTGAAACAAAAGTTTAAGTATTATAAAAAAAAAAAGCATAAAAAATAGTAAATAGAGACAAAAATAGAAAAATAAATCAATGTGTCCGAAAAAAACTTGTAAAAAAAAAGTTGATGCATGCAGACTGGTTGGAATTGCCGGGAGCTTTGATTCTCTTGCTTGTGGTGGCTCCATCTCTTTTTGCCGACAAAATAAGGGGAAGTATAGTCGGAATTTTCATTTGCCTTGCCATCGGTTGTTACTTGCTCCAAGAACACATTCGAGCATCCGGGGGTTTTAGAAACTCCTTCACAAAAAGCAATGGTATTTCAAACTCTATTGGTATTCTACTCCTCTTTCTGTACCCGGTTTGGGCTCTCGTCATCTACCTTCTTTAGGCCTTTCGACCGAGAGCTCGACTTTTATCGAAAGGCTTAAGCATTGTGTGGAAAGGGAAGAAAAAAAAAACAATGAATTTGAACTCTTTTGAGTGGTCTTCTTGTAAATGATATTTATTGTGATTGTTGTTTGAATAATTCATCTTCAGGAATTAAGACTGATGGTTTTTACTTATGTTGGTGGTATTGGTTAAGAAAATATAGGTTCATTTGATCCAATTTCTTTGCTTTTCATTTCTCAAGTTCACACAAATTAAGAGTGTGTTATATAAATGTTGTTATATGGTTTCATGTCTCATTTTCACATAAAAATTAAGAAAGTGTATTTACATTACTTTAAGTACTTATCATCCTATGCACTATGGAGAGTAAAAACTAATCATTAGTTAATCAAATAATTGCATTATGCACTATAAACATGAAAATGTACTGATTATTTCAGGCGAATAATGCTAGGAAAAAATTGAAGTAGGACCAATGGGATTGACCTGCTAATAGGTTGGTTATTGTCGTCAAAATCAAACATACAAAGCTTTTGAAAATGGCCTATTAGCTCAGTTGGTTAGAGCATCGTGCTAATAACGCGAAGGTCGCAGGTTCGAGACCTGCGTGGGCCACGCATTGGATATTTATTTTACCTTTTTAATCAGTTCAAATTTACTTGATTATTTTGTCCTTTTCTCTTTCTTTTTTTTCACCAAACACTCTTAGACTCGAGTCAAATCAAAATTTTAAGATTCAATTGGTGAACCGTAAACACTGCCAACTTTTAGTTCTTGGTTAAATATATGTATATCAGATTTTTTATACTAAACTATGTGAATAAACTCTTCATGCATTTGATAGAAAAAAGTACGAGCCTTGTGCAAGACTATTTTACCCATCTTAAATTCTTCATTTATAAATACAAAAGGTGAACAAAAGGAAAGTCTGCAAAATATGCTCACTAGCCAGTAGTGTAGAGCATATGACGACTGTATTAAATAACTTTTTTGTTGTAGAAAGTATATACTAACTAATTAAATTGCGAACATTCTAGTTCAAACGCGTTTGTTAATGGACATAACTGCAATTTTTAAATTTCAATTAGATAGTTTTTGCATGAAAATTTACATTTTTGGACGTATTATGCTCAGTTTTTAATATTTATTGAATATTTTTTTACCATAAAAAAAAAAACTAATTAGTAGTTTTTACATGAGATTTTACATTATGTTTTAGACACATTATGCAAACACTCATATAGTCATATAGCTAGCAAATGCAGAAGCATTTATGAATGGCAGTGTAATGCAATGCTTTTACAAGAGGGACATTTATTTATGACAGCACATTGGTAGTTGGATTCTGAGGTGAAATATGATATTTCCAATTCCAGTCTATATTAGAACAAACCAACAAGCCACCAACTATATATGTTTATCACACATTAATATTCAATTGCATTTTTTTAATGTGTTTTCCTTGTATCCTATTTTTCCTAGCAAAATTCTATATTCAGACTTATCATACACTGACCAAGTGATTGTCATCTATATATATATTAAAGCTAAGCAGCTGAAAATTTCCCTCCAAAACTATATTTAATACATTGCAATAAATTTTTATCAATTTCTATGCATGATTTATCAATAAAAAAATATTTGTTAAATATAAATAATTAATTTCTCTTCATAATTGTATTGGAATTTGAACTCCAATCTTCCTTGACTAAATAAATGCTTCAATTCCATATACTACCATGAAATAAATTTTGTTAATTTCTATGTATTATTTACTATTCAAACAATTCCATAATTATTTGTTACAAATAAATACTTATTTTAGTCATAATCAAATATTATACAAATCCTATTATATATTTTTTTTGTCATAATCAATTATTTGTTATAAAAAATATTTAATATTATACATAATTATTTATTATGAACTCTCATTCGAATATCTCACTTATTATTTGTTTCTCTTCCCGTTTGTGAGTACGAGTTCCAGTCCTTATACATTATATTTTTTTATAAAAATAAATTATCAATCTTATTTAAGTAATCATTAAATAAATTTTAAAGTAAAATATTTTATTTAAAATCATTTATTATTTTTTATTGGAACATCAAACACAATATTAATTTTTTCGGTTATATTGGGTATATTTCAAGGTATTAGAAAAAGATCATAACTAATATGATATCCACATGTAATATAACAAATAAATAGTTTTATAGTTTTTATTTTGTATCGATATGCATATATATAGATAAACTTTTAGATTTGATATGTCAATTTAAATTCTACGTTGTCTATTTATGTACACATTAAGAAAATATGTAACCATCTCTTATTAATCTAATATTATATTATTTTATATCTATATGTAATTCTAAGAAATTACAAGTGATCATTAAATTATTTGCATGGAGTACCTCATTCCTAAACAAGATCTATTAATTTAAATTAAAAAATTCTAATCATTCACAAACTCTGATGTGAGCTGAAGTAAGGGTTAGTCAAGTTAACATGTCATTCTTTTTTATCAAAAATGCAAACTTAGACCTCCAAATTTCATACTTTTGTTTATTATATTTTATAATTTTTTTAAAATAATAAATATAATAGAAATAGAAAGAGATAAAAAAAATAATGAAGTTATAATATCATAAATAACATAATTTATTCGACTAAAAGAGATGTATTTTTCAAAAAAAAAATATCATCTATAATTTTTGGGGATGATCCTTCATATCCATATGAAATAGATCTCGAAAATGTTGAATAACTTAATTGAGTAAAAACACTATACGGATTTAAGTTTATTTCACCAATAAAGCATGAATATGAAAGCTATGAAAACAAAAGAAAAAAAAGAAGACATAATAGAATTCAAAAATGACATGAAATTTGACTGTATTTCATAGATAAATAATATATTAATATTTCAAAGCTGATATTGTAAAAAGAAAAGAAATCACAAATGATAAACGTACGAACAAAGAGACATGACATCATTTCAAAGTAACTACTCATGGATTTGATTGTGAAAACTGAAAAGGAAAATGCATATATAACGTTCATTTCTTCAATGATTTTCAACTATATACTAGGTTGTTTCATGTTAGTGTTTGGTATTTTTTTTATTTTTAGTTGGTATAATTTGTTTGGTTTTGAAAATCTTGAAGAATCCACTTAAACATATGTGCATAAAGTTTTTGCCTTCATTAATTTTTTTAATTGGTCTATAATTATACAACTATAATTTCTGAAGGCATAGTACGGGTTAATTTAATTATTGTTAATGTTGTATTTCTATAATGTATCATCTTTATCGAAACATTTCGACATATAAAGTTCTAAAACTCACTATAGATGCAACAACTATTTTTTCTTCATCATACATCAAAATTATTAGTTTTACTTTTCATTGTTGTAGACTTATATATTATTATTAAATATTTTATTATTTATAATTGAAAATAATTTTGTATTTCTAAATAATAAGTTAATTAAAATTATCTTAAATTTTATCCAAAATAAGTTTTAGCTATTGACCTAATATTAAAATAAGTTTTAGCTATTGACCTAATATTGACGGCGATCATTTTGATTATTTTCTTAATATAATTTTATAAAAATAAAAAATACAACGTTAAAGAATATAATAAACAATAATTCGATATGTATTGACATAAACTTTTATTTTGTACAATGAGATGAACATTTATTTTTATAGTTTGTATACAATATAAAAATAATAGATTTAGTGTTCGGAGCATCTATTTTAGTCTCATTTATGGATAAGCAATATAAGAATATTGCGAAATGATAGTGGGAAATGAAAAAAATAATTAGAAAATGATAACATAAAGAGCGAGAGGTCTTAACAACAATAAGAGAGTTGAAAAAAAGTAATAATATAGTTTTGACTCGGAAGACGAAATTATCATATTGATTGAATAATTTTATCCGATAATTATTTGTTTCATTTATTTCATTTGAGCTTAAATTTGAGGTGATGTAAAAGTTGGTGAAAAGTGAAAGCCTTTAATTTTTTTTTAATAAATACACAATTCTGCAGCTAAACCTTTTATAAATAAAAATAGCATAATGTGTCGATTATCATTTGACTTTTGTTCATAAACATACATTTTTTTTTTATAAGAGAATGATGAGATTACATTATTGCAACTGAATGTTGTAGTAGATAAAGTTAAACACAATTTATTATAATGCATCAACTACTTTTCCCTTATCATATATCATAATGTTAATTTCACAACAATGTGTTTTATTTCTTTTAGATTTTATATAATATAATTGAAATATATTTTTCGTATTACTTTACAAAAAGTTTGTCAATGTGCATTTCTAAAAACTACATTAAATTACAATTCTCACAGATTCCATGCAATAATAACTAATAAGTACTTTAATATTACATTGAATTACAATTATCATGATTTTCATGCAAACAAAAAAAAAAGTATTTTAATAAATACACAATTATGCAGCTAAAAATTTTATAAATAAAATTAGCATGTGTCAATTATCGTTTAATTTTTTTTCATATTAATTTTTTTTTCATAAGAGAATGATGAGGGTATATTATCACAATTGAATGTTGCATTAGATAAAGTTAAACACACTTATTATAATGCATTAACTACTTTTTCCTTATCATATATCATAACGTTAATTATTTTTTTTTAGATTTTATATAATATAATTTCAATGTTTTTTTTTTGTATTACATTACAAAAATTTTTTCAAAGTGTTTTTATAAAAAATATATCGAATTATAATTCTCATTGGTTTCATGCAAAAATAAGTATATTTTAATATTACACTGAATTACAATTCTCATGGATTTTATGCAAAAAATAAATATTTTATTGACTTGAGCATTAATGATTACTGAGTCTATTTATAACTTTATGAAAAATGATCAATCTTTCACATCATTCTCTAACCACCATCGCACTTATTTTGCCAAAAAAAAATAAAAAAATAAAATGTTGAGATTTATTTTGTTAATAAAAAAAGTGAAAAATTTGTAGACTTAATTTAAAAATAAATACATGCAGATAGAAGTTAATTTGTTCTTAAGTATTTAATTTGTATTTATAAATTTTAATTTGCTCATTTTCATACATGTTAACGTTAATTATTTAATATAAGCTTATTTGCAGAATAGTAATTATGACTTTGTTTTCTTTTTTGAACTATGAAAATTATGTTATCACATATACAGTTTTATGAAAAAATTTTGAAGGAGTGTCATTAATGTGACAAATAATTTTTTTCATGGTATATCACATATTTTTGTATGCTTAAGAATTTAATTTTAAAACATTTAAGAAAAAAAGTATATTGGATTTTATAATTTTTTTTTTTATTGTTATTGTTTCTAGAGTCACGATCCATGTTTACTAATTATTGTTATTACAGTTAGTGATAACGACACAGTTCATCTACTATTAATGCTATATTTGTGGAAGTACTTTTAAATGGAAGAATAAAAAATTTATCTTACATTATATCAATTGATGCTTTTCAAAATATTTTTCTATTAAATTATCACTCATTTACACTATTTTTAATATAAAGTCGCGCATCGCGCGGGTCACATACTAGTACTCTTTTAACATAATGTATCCATAATGTTATCTGCATTAATATTTCATAACACTACTAGAAAACACCAAATGTCAAAGACAACATATCCCAACAAAATTCAAAATTTCAAATGGATATTCCAATATTGAGACATTCGATGGAATTGATTTTTCGTTGGAATTTTTATTGAATTTCACGATTCCAACAATATTTTGTACATTGATTATAATTATTTCCACGACTAACAATTCATTTACAAATTGTATTTGTCAACGAAAATTCCTACAACAATAAATCGTTGGAAAAGATGTTGTCACACTCATCGAATTTCAACTGTAGTCCTAAAGGAAAATTAATTCAAACATAAGATTTTAGTGTTGAACTATCCATTTGAATTCTCCGACAAAAATTATAATATCAGAATATTTGTCGGAATTTCTGTTGTAATATTTTTCATTGCAATATTTGTAGTATTTTTTAGTGTATATCATATCAATTTTAATGAAAAATGATGTTTAACTTTTGTTTTTTAATATATCAAAGTAACATTTTAATTTCCTTCGGTCTTTCAGTTCTTTTCCTCTTTATAATTAACAGTAGAAATGTGAGAATTAAGGTCAGTCTAAATGGATTAATGGTAGTAGAGTTCAAGTAATTAGGTCAAAATAGGATGATGATTTTATTTATGAGACCACGTAATTGGATGAGAACATTTAATATTTTAATAGTCCATAAGTACTATTTTCTATTTAACATCTAGATTTTGTAGGCAACTGGGGTAACTAAGCTAAGACTTCGAGGTATGTTTATTATTATTTCTTACTACTAAGACTTCGAGACCACTAAATGATTGCTCTTTATTCGCCATTTCATTTTGTTTAAATTGCATTTTATACAATTTTTATTAGATCAGCATCGTCAACTCGAGTTCTTCATCTTCAAATCGGTTTTCTTTATAATATTCAAAGAAGCTACTCTTCAATTAAAGTCTTTCATACGATTAACATTATAAAAGACTACCAATATGTCTCCTCATGTGTATATATCACACATAAAAGGATTACCTTTAATATTTTTGTTCTTATTTTCATGACTCTACCTTACTTTCTCCACTCATTTTAAATTCTTTAAAAGCACTAAAGTTCCCTTTCTCTCTTTTGCATGTACAAAGTACAAGTATATCAAACATCACAGAATCATTACATTACAAATTATTGTGATAAAAAGGCTAAAATGTGCCCCCACATCTCATTTTGAACCACTTATCATCAAAAGTTGAGCAACAAAACCACTTCCCAATCACATTTCCTCTCACCCAAAATTAGACACCTTTGATGCAACTTGCAAGACAAAAATTTAAACATATCCAAATGCCAATACAAGCTCACTACCATAATAAACCTTTGGGAATCAGATTTCATATTCCACTTTATCGATTAGCAATACATATTTATTCTCTACATACACGACTAAACAAAGAAAGTGGAACAGAAAATCCGACCCAATTCTCACCAGTCTCGTCCCAAACCCAACTCTCGAGTCGTGGTCATCAAGAAAGCAACACCAAATAGTACAACCAACCCATTTTCTTCCAAACTACAAACACAAACCATTCTTAGTGCTCCACTTCAATTTGTCCGATTCCGATCACCACCACCACTTCCCACCGGCAACATTCTCAAAATNGACAGGCTAAGGCCAACCAATCAGTAGATATTCTTTAAATGCCCAATTTCGAATTAATTTAACCTTTTTTTTTTCTCCCTCCATTTAATGCCCTCTCATCAGTAGTCGCAGACAGGCTATTAATTCCTCCCCATGAGACCTTTCTTTTCCCAACTTTGAAAAAATTTTATCGTCCGTCCACGTGTCAAAATCCTCACCGTCTGTTGAACCTCTCCGGGGACAACAGCGCCTCTGGGTCTCCGCTCCTCAGCCGGCTCGACGAGAACAGCGCCGCCCCCGCCCCCGCCGCCGCGGCCGACGGCCGCATGAACATCGGGCTGGCGAAGGACTTCGTCCGCCGCGACGAGCTACCGCCGCCGGACGCGGCGGACAGGCCGTGCCGCGCGCTCGATTCCGAAAGGGGGAAAAACCCGCTGATGCTCCGCCGCCGGAAGAACGGCGATTTCATGCCTCTGTAGTACCGGAACGAGAAGACTCGAGGCTTTGTCTGCGAGCTGAACGGAGACGGCCGCTTGCTCCACAGACCGCCGCCGCGGCGGTAGCGCCACGGGGAGGCGGTTACCGGCTCGAGGATTAACCGCTCCGATCCCAAATTCCGCTCGAATCCGAAGGAATACGATCGCTTGAGTAGGAAATCCCGGCGGATGTATCTGTCCTCCGATTGGTGATTGCTCCGCCGTGGGGATGGCGGCTCCTGAGTGATCTCCCCTTCATCCTCCTCCGCCGTCGCCGATTCGATCGGGAATTCGGTGAGCGGCTCCAGAATGACGCCCTCGGCGAGTATGTCGTCGAGGCTGGGTCTGATTCTAGCGGCCATTAACGGAGTGAAGGGGGAATCGTGACGGAATATTCCGGCGCGGCAAAGGGGGCAGTTGGCGTGGGAACGGAGCCATATGTCGATGCAGTCAACGTGGAAGGCGTGGGCGCAGGCCGGCAGCGTGCGGACGTAGTCGTCGTCCTCGAACTCCAGCAGGCACACGGCGCAGTCGTGGAGGAGGCCGCCGCCGCCCTTGCGGGTGAAGATGGACAGTGGGATGGCCTTGATGACGGCCTCGTCGAGGCCGTAAGGGGAGAGGACGCGGAACGCGTCCACTGGATCGAAGGGGTACGGCGGCGAATCGATGTCACCGGCGGAAGCGGAGGGGACGTAGCGTCGGCGGCGGCGACGCCACCGGCGGTAGCGGCGGTAGGCGTGGATCAGGCGGCGGGAGAGGAGGCGGGAGTAGGTGATGATGACGAAGGCGGTGGCGATGATGACGACCATGGCTATCAGCGGTGGGCTGAAGTCGACCGGCAGCTTCGACGGCGGAGGGGAGGATGAGTTCGACACCGTCGCCGCCACCTGCGGCGACGGCGACGCCGGCGGCGTCAGGCGATTTTCGGCTGGGGATGAGGAGATAGACGGAGACCGTACGCCCCACCACAGGCTGGCGGGATCCGGGGCCGGCGCGGGGGATAGGCGGTGGTGGTGGTGGTAGCGGGGCATGGGCGGCGGACGGTGGNTGTTTATGTGGGCCCATTAGCCACGTCATAATTTCGCTGAATTTAATGCCACGAGACTTGTTTTCATACTTTTTTTTTTATTTTTTTTTTCAGACTTTTCTTTTTTATGTTTGGATGTGTTATAGCTTGAACCTTGAAAGCGTATGAAAGGGGATGTGTTTTAACTATTCCCATTGTTTAAATATCGCTATTGTTAGTTTTTTTTCGGAAAAACGCGACGTAGTTACGCGAAATGTTGAAATGCATGTTTTCTTACGCTATATTTTTGCGACGACATTTGAACAATAAAATATACGATTTTAGGCATTTGAATAATAAAATATTTAAAAACTCGTATTTTTTTGGGATCAGAGTCATATTTACAAATGACAAATAAAAACTAAAAATTTTGATAATGATATTAAATTAAAAATTTGAAAATGCAAAGTCCTAAGTTGAATAGTGCAATATTTATCAGTCCATTTTTGCTATATCATTTCATTTTTCGACATCTAAATAAAGAATAAAAAGTTCATATCTAATGGTTAGAATTAAGTTGTAGTTAAATAAAAAAATAATAATTAAAATGCATATACTTAAAATTATACTATGACTTGCCTCATTATATTTTCGTTGTTTGTTTTTACTTTTTAGTATATTCGATTTATTATTTAAATATTTATATTATGATATTTACATTAAAAATTCTTGAGAAATAATCTTTAGATGTTATTTTGAAGTCATTCAAATACTATGATAATTTTTGTAATCAACCATCTAATTTTATTATATGCAAATATATTTGTAATATTTCTATAAAAGAAAATTTATACCCAAGTAGCTTACGCCTCACGCTATTTACGCTACGCAGTATAAAGATCAAAATGCTACGTATTGTGTTATACACGTTTTAAAACACTGACTATCCCTATAACACGAGACATATACAATACAATATTTTTATTTTCCAATTATTAGTTAATAAGTAGCTTCTGCATGATTTTTGCATTTTTTAACATATTGTATTTATTTTTTTTAGATAGTCGTAATTTCTATAATCACAAAAGTTATTGTCTAAATTGACCAAATGCTTCCAAATTATCTGGGATATTTTACAATTATTATACCTATTCTCTTAAATTGCCAATTCTCATGTGTTTCAGCTTCAACCATGTCAACAATTTACCGGAATCAGAAACTTTGTCCAACGGACACATTAACTAAAATGGGCTTATATTCCAGTCCAATATGTAATGGGCCTAAGACGATAGGCCCATGCTTGTTGAGCAAAAAACTCAAATTAAAACTCCCAGCACTGGCAAGTGGCAAACACGGCAGCTGAAGAAAACGACGGTTAGGGTTTTAGATCAGTCATCTTCCTCTCCCCAATCAAAATTCGCAAGGAAATCCGAAGAAAAAAAGTAGCTAAAATGTTTCCAGGCATGTTTATGCGGAAGCCAGACAAGGCGGCGGCGCTGAAGCAGCTCAAGAGTCACGTGGCCATGTTCGGAGCTTGGGTCGCCGTGGTTCGGGCCACCCCGTACATTCTCCACTACTTGTTCGATCAAAATGAACCGCTGAAGCTCGAGCTCTGATCTTGCTCTGCCTCGATTAAGCTCTGGTTCGAGATTTGAACTGATCTCTTTATTTTGGTACTTTTGTCCTGTTCGTAATTTCATTGGATGCTTAGTTTTTTCGTATCTTTTGATGTGAGCAATATCGGTGCATATGCGTGTGACTATGGTGATTTGTTTTTTTGTTAAAATTTTGGATTTGAGTTTTTTGTTGCTGGCTTGCTCGGTAAAAATTTGTAGTGTTTTGGGCCATTTGTGCAGTGTTGTTCTTGATTAGTTATTACTGTCGTAATGTTTGAATTATATTAGCAATCTTGAGTTCTTATGAGTATAAATTTATGTGACAGTAAGTAGAGGTGAAGCTTATCGGACCTTTACTTTATATAGGGTGAAATCGGCAGTGCCCATAATGAGTGGAATATTAAGAAATATGTACAAACACCAAAAAATTAAAAAATGGAGGAACTATTTTTTGCATTTGAATCATTTAGTTGAACTGAGGAAAGTTGGAATGGGAAATCAAGATAGAACGTGTCGTGTGACCAATTGACAATGCAAATGGTGTTGATTCTTAATTTTATAGTTGGTTTTCTAGTTACCTTGCAAATCGACAAACTTGTTCCCTAAAATACTTGCTTTCTTGTGGTGTTTTAAAGATGCAGCTTTTATTCAAATTTGAAAAGATTGCAGCTTTTACTCAAATTTGAAACGAGTTGTTAGGTCCTAAGCTACATAACTCTTGTACTTTTCTGATTTTCTCCCAATACGTTGTAACTTGCAATCATATAATAGATCGCATAGTTCTCAATTGTTGAGTTTACATTACATCTAATTTGTGAGTTTTAGTTCTCAAGTGTCAAAAGGTGTATGCTTTTAATTTAGGTCCATGGGTATATATATATTTAGAATAAGTACTCACACATTATTACACACTGATAGACTTAGTATTACACATTGATAGACTTTAGTACACACACAGTTAATTATTGCACACTGATTAATTTTTTAGTACTCATGAGTTAATTATAGATGTTTTTAACTTGTTATTTAATTTTTCTGGAAATAGATAACACAAAGTATAATATTATGTGAAGCTTTAAGGCTTCATTTCAGTCTTGATAGCAGCAACCAAATGATTATAGGCCACAGTCCATGCCTCCTTCATTTCTGGTGACCACATTTCTCCAACTGCTTCTTTTATTGTCTCCAGTAATGCATATTTTGCCACCTGAAATATTTCTTTTTTTTTTTTAAAAAAAAAAACTACTTTTGGTCAAATGAACATTTTTTTTTTATGAAAATTGTCCTAGTTTTTAAAATGAGTTAGAGAATTGTTTTTATCTTTATTCTTAAAAGTACTAATGTGATTTTTTTTTTTTATTAATTTTTTGTTACCTTAAAGTGTTCATCCATAACGCGAGTTTTGACATGTACGATACCTAGCCTCTTGAGGCTCGAATCCCTGATCACAACTTTCCCTTCTTTTCGGAGTTGGATTGCCACTTCACATGTCTGCCAAATTATTTTACTAGTTATCATTACGAATGCATACTTGCAATAATATGAGTCGACTTGTCATACTTTGTGAGTGAAAATGTATACTTATTCTATTAAATATCATATTTCTGAAGTATGACATTTTACAGTTATAGTATGCATTTTTATAAAAATGGTACAATGGCATACTAACCATGACAGACACAGACTTGACAAGTTGTTGGAAAAATACGCTGAATTTTTCATGAAGTCGGATCTATAAAAGTGAAATAAAAAATAAAAATTGGACACATCAATTTGATAACGGAGTTCGGCCAATAATACCTACGTCTCCGGACTACTGCAGATATTTTATTAAGAAGAAAAATACACTCGTGTTTACAAAACACTCTCAACCTCACTCACAACTCACAACTCAAATACATACAAAAACTAAATATTTTACTTCTTTTCACTCTCTTCTTTTCTCTCTTTCTTTCTGTGTTTTCTGTATTTGTTGGTGTGTTTTTCTTTATCAGAACCCATCTCTATTTATAGAGAGGGAGTTGCACATTTTTTCCCACAAAGGCTGCAGCATCTTTCTTCAATTGTGTGCTGCACGTTGCTTCCTTTCTTTTTCTTTCATTGCTGTTGTCAAAGTGTGCTGCTTCCTTTTTTTTATTTTTTTATTTTTCTCCTTTTGCTGCTCTAAGAAAATGGGTACAGCCCCTTTTTTACTCAACAATCAGTCCTCACACCTCAATTTCTGCAGTAGTCTTCTCCGGTCTGTTATTCTAGCAAACCAATTGAAGTTGAAAACAACTTCAGTTTGTCAATGGTCACCACCTTCGTTAGCATATCTTCTGGGTTCTTGCTTCTTACAATCTTCTTCAATGTCAACACTTCATCCTCAAGCAGAGATCTGATGAAATGATATCGTATGTCAATGTGCTTAGTTCTGGAGTGAAACACTGAGTTCTTTGCCAGATGTATTGCACTCTGACTGTCACTGTGCAAGACACTTTCTTTTTGAGTGAAACCCAACTCTGCTAACAATAGTTGAAGCCATATCAATTCTTTACTGGCTTCTGTCACTGCTACATACTCGGCCTCTGTAGTGGATAGAGCTACAATCTTTTGTATCCGCGACATCAAACTAACAGCTGTAGCCCCGACAGTGAAAACATAACCGGTGGTGCTTCTTCGGTTATCAACTTCACCTCTAAAGTCTGCATCTACGTAGCCCTGTAACTTTAGATCTCCTTTTCTAAAGTACAGACATTTTTCTGTTGTGCCACGTAGATATCTCAAGATCCATTTGACTGCTTCCCAATGAGCTTTTCCTGGATTTGATATAAACCTACTAACAACTCCCACTGCATAGCCAATGTCTGGCCTCGTACAGACCATCGCGTACATCAAACTTCTAATGGCTGAACCATAAGGAATCTTAGCCATGAACTCTTCTTCTTCTTTTGTTTGAGGAGACTGATCCTTGGATAGACGAAAATGGCTGGCCAAAGGTGTACTGACTGGTTTGGCCTTGTCCATGTTAAACCTCCGCAAGACACGGTTGATGTACTCTGCCTGAGATAACTGCAAAACTCCCTTTTGCTTATCTCTCGTGATCAGTATTCCAAGAATCTTCTTTGCTGGGCCTAAGTCCTTCATGTCAAATTCTTTTGACAACTGCATCTTTAATTTTCTGATGTCTTTCATATCTGATCCGCTACTAACATGTCATCAACATAAAGTAGCAAGATGATATAGCTGGACTCATACTTCTTGAAGAAACAATAGTGATCAGCATTGCACTTCTGGAAACCTTCCTTGTGCATGAAGCTATCAAATTTTTTATAACACTGTCTTGGAGCTTGTTTCAGGCCGTACAAGCTCTTCTTCAATTTGCACACCATATCCTTCTTTCCTTCTATAAAACCTTCAGGCTGGTGCATATAGATCTCCTCATCTAGGTCTCCGTGAAGAAACGCAGTCTTCACGTCTAATTGCTCTAGGTAGAGCTCTTCACTAGCCACAATACTTAACACAGTCCTGATAGTATTGAGCTTTATAACTAGAGCAAAGATTTCAGTATAGTCAACTCCTTCTTTCTACTGAAATCCTTTGACAATCAGTCGGGCTTTGTATCTCTTGGAACCATCATGGTCTTCCTTCACCCGATACACCCATTTGTTGTGAAGTGCTTTCTTTCCCATAGGTAACTTGACTAGTTCCCATGTCTGATTTAAGATCAAGGACTTCATCTCGTCCTTCATGGCAAGCTCCCATTTGCTAGCATCTGTGGTTTGACAAGCTTTCATGTAATTTTCAGGCTCCACTCCATCAGTCAGCAACATGTAGTCCATGTATCTCTTGTTAGGCACATGGGGCCGAGAGGACATTCTCAATACAGGAGTTGGAGTAGGAGGTTCTGATTGCACATCACTTTCTTCATTTGATTCCTCTGACTGAGGACTCCTCATTATAGGACTGTCTGGGATATCTTCCAGCTCAGCATAAACTGGCCCACTCGCTTCTGAGTTGCTGGCACATGTATTATGTCGGTCCATGTACATTACTCTTTCATTAAAGATGACATCTCTGCTGTGGATCATCTTTTTGTTTTCATCATCCCATATGCGGTAGCCAAACTCATCTTCAACATAACCAAGGAAAGTACATTTCTTTGATTTTGGATCAAGTTTGTTTCTACCTTGATCACCGATGTGCACATATGCTACACACCCGAAAACTTTAAGATGTGAGAGTTTTACTTCTTTTCTGCTCCATACCTCTTCTGGTAACTTGTGATCCAGTGGCACCGATGGACTTCGGTTGATCAAGTAAGTTGTTGTGTTGACTGCTTCTGCCCAGAACTGCTTTGGTAGGCCTGACTGTACATGCAAGCTTCTGGCTCTTTCAGTCAACGTTCGATTCATACGCTCAGTTACACCATTGTGTTGAGGCGTACCAGGCACGGTTCTCTCCATTCTGGTCTCGTGCTCATAGCAAAACTTCTTGAATTTGGTGGTTACATATTCATCACCATTGTCGGATCTGAGCTTCTTGATCTTCAAGCCTGTCTCATTTTCCACCATAGCTTTCCAAATCTTGAAAGCTTCAAATACTTCTGACTTGTGTTTCAGAAAGTAAACTCATACCTTTTTGGAGTGATCATTGATAAAAGTCACGAAGTATTGCTTCCCACCAACGGATGGGACAGTCGTTGGACCCCAAACATCAGAGTGGATGAGCTCAAGCTTCTCTTTCTTTGGGGTTCTTCTACTTGTCTGAAAGCTGACTCTCTTCTGCTTTCCAAGTATACAACCTTCACACATGTCAATTTCTATTGACTGGAGGCTTGATAATTTTTCTTTTGAGTAAATGATCTTCATCCATTTTTCACTCATATGCCCAAGTCTTTGGTGCCACAGATTGTGATTTTCATTTGCTGCAACTGCAATTAGATGACATGCTCCTGTGGTCTTGTAAAGAGTACCACTCTTTTTGCCTCGAGCAATTGTCATAGCACCCTTTGAAATCTTTCAATCATCACCATGAAAGATTGTCGTGTAGCCTTCACTAGCTAGCTAGCCCATGGAGATTAAATTCTTCGTCAGGTCTGGAATATGTCTGACATTTTTCAATTCCCATAGAGACCCGCTCAGCTTGATTTTTATTGCACATTTCCCTACAACCTCACATGATTGCTCATTACCAAGGTAAACTTTACCAAGATTCCCAGGAACATAATTTTCGAATAGTTCCTTCTGTGAGGTAGCATGAAAGGATTCTCCAGAGTCCAACACCCAAGACTCTTCTCTGTTCTCCAAAGAACATATCAGCATATCTCCTGCAGAGGCTGAAACAATATTTGCCTCTTCTTTTGCCTCCTGACCCTTCGGTGCACCCTTGCACTGGTTTCTGTTAGGGGTGCACAAAATTTGGTTAACCGACCGAAACCGAAATTTCGGTTTGGACCGAAATCGAAACCAATTTTTTGGTTCGGTTTTAGGTTTGTATTTTTTAAAAATTTCGGTTTTCGGTTCGGTTTGAGTATAAATGTTCGGTTAACACTTCATGCTATTAGCCATTCTTTAATTTGATTTGAATACTCCACTAATAGCAATGTATATACAAAGAGGAAATAGAGCAAGAATAACACTAACCCTTCATGCTATTAGCCATTGTTTAATTTGATTTGAATTTCTTATGCAAAAAGCAAGTGTTGTGTGAGTTAGTAAGAACAGATTAATTGAGGGGTTTATAAACTTTATGTAAGTAGTTAAGTTATGTAATGTAATATGTAGTGGCCTAAAGGTTGGCCCTTGACAAGAGTGTAGAGCTGTGCATATGGCTGAGCTAAGCAAAATTGAATTTGACATCACTATGATGACGATGAAACCTGCTGCTGTGTTTTGTTTGCTGGAACCTGGTTTTTACAGTACTCAAGGTGGCGGAAGCTGGTTGGCTACTTTTCTTGTCTGTCTGGTTATATGGATGTCTTCCCAATCTAAATGGAATCTGGACTTAATGGATACCTTTCACATTTACTTTTTACTGTTCATTGTTGTTTTTCTCTTTTTAATCATTTAGGGCTTAATTGTTTATTAATTATTTTACTCACCTTTATTTCATACTCAAAATTCATCTCAACTTTAACTCAATTCTACTATCTTTAATATTATCAAATAATAAATAATACAAACCAATCATTCTTACACATCACATTAATTTCAATTCACTATTCGTCCACTCACATAATTTTAACTATCTATCATTTCCAATTATTTTTAATTATTTATTCCCTACTTTTACATCAAAATCAATTTTAATCATTTTATTTCAAATATTATTTTAATATATTCTTAAAATTCCACTAACAAGTAACTATACCACCTTTTTTCAAATTAACTATGGTTAACTAAAATAACTCATTTTGAACAAATTATTTCATAAACAATCAAGCCCTTATTATTTGGAGGAAACCATTCTAGTAATGTGTGAGTTCTTTGGGGGTGATTGTTTATCAAGCCAACTAATCGAAACTCAAATTTAACTCAATTTTAATTCAATCTCATTATCTCCAATACTATTAATATAATTAAATAATATCAACCAATTATTCTTACAATCACATCAACTTTAATTCACTATTCATCTGCTCACATAATATTAACTAACCATCAATTTTAATCATTTTTCTCTTACTTTTACGTCAGATCAACTTTAATTATTTTATTTTAAATATTATTTTAATATATCCACTAACAACTAACCATACCACATTTTATTCAAAATTAACTATGGTTAAAAAAAATCAACTAAAAACTAGTTTAATTCATATCCAATCACCCCTTAAATATAGAGGCGTTTTTCGATTTGAATTAGTGGATAATTAATGGTTTGGCTCGTGAAAGTTAGATTTTGGTTCGTTCATTTATTTATAGGAGTTGAGCTCATACAGTTAGTTGGACTCGTTTGTTAAGCTAGTCGAGTCCAGTTTGTTCACGAATAATTATTTTTTTCAAAATTAATTATGGTTAAAAAAAATCAATCAAAAACTAATTGAATTCATATCCAATCACTCCTTAAATATAGAGGCGTTTTTCGAATTGAATTAGTGGATAATTATTTGGTTTGGCTCGTGAAAGTTAGATTTTTGTTCGTTCATTTATTTGTAGGAGTTGAGCTCGTACAATTAGTCGGACTCGTTTGCTAAGCTAGTCGAGTCCAGTTTGTTCACGAATAATTAATTCCTAAAAAAAAATTATCGGTTTTAAATGAACGGTTTTGCTATGAAGCCAACAGTTGGCTCCATAGTGGAGTCAACTTTTTATATACAACAAATAAACCTACCATATTAATAATATTATATTAGTGTTATTTAAGTAATCAGAGAATATGGTAGGTTTACTTATTGTATATAGAAGGTTGGCTCCACTATGGAACCAACTATTGGCTTCAGAGCACCCACAATGATTCGGGTCTCTTAACAAAAAATCGCATGTCATGTAAGAAATAGACATTGTTTATAAAAAAGTGTTTCACAATTCAATTAAAAATGGACCTAGTTTAGCTTATGTGGCAATAAAAAAAAAAGACCAAGTCCACACTTGGGTCTATTTTGGACCCAAGTATAAACCGAAACACTCATCATTCGTTCCTAATTTAATTTTTCTTTTAATAAAGGAAACATATTAGAACATTTTTATTGGTTAGCATGTATGCTAGACCTAGTATTTTATTTTTGCATTGAATAGCTTTTGAGTTTTTTTTTTTGGGTTTGTCCATGTCATTTAAGACTCAAGTCTATTTATATGCCACATAAGTAAAATTAGATTTAATGTATTGTGGGTGCTCTCATAGCAAAACCGTACTGTCGAGGCAAAAATGTCTACTATTAACATTTTATATTCATGAACATCTATTTAAGGGTTTAAATTTATTAAATGGACTAAGCCGAGTAAATGTGTTTATTATACGAGCTCAGCCTGATTTGAATAGTACTTGTAGTTGTGAAAATACTACATTATTATATCATCTACATCTATAATACAATTTTAGATTATTATCTCAACTCGACTATTTCGAGTCAGAGCTGGATTTGAAAAATAACAATAATACATTATTATATCATATACATCTACAGTTCAATTTTAGATTCTTATCTCGAATTCCAGTGATTTTTTCTTCTCATCCTTAGAAAGCTTAGTTATTAAATTATTATAAGGGCATTGATGGTTAGACTTGCACAAGGACCGACGTATCGTGCTATGACTTATGAGTTAATTTACTTAATAATTTTGTACGAGGCTTTCTAAAAGTGACAAATAATTTGTATTTAATGATTGTAAATCAAACATTTTAATAAAATATTAGTTCTTTCGTAAATCGTATCTAACGAGGCTAAGGGGTTAGATTTTGTAATCAACACAAAATGAAAAGAATAATTAGCACTTTTGGAAGAAACTAATATGGCTCATGTGCAATGCACAGTCTGACAATAAAAATTGCTCCAATTAATTATAAAAGAATACTACATTTAACTCACCTAATTATAGGATTTTTTTGCATTTTATCCACTCAACTTTTTTTGTGACACTTTGCTCGTATAACATTATAAAAAATTGCAGTTAACCAATTTCCGGTCACCGTCCGACCATTTCTATGGGCAAAGTATAAGTAAAAAAAAGTTGATTGGGTAAAGTGCACAAAAACATATAGGTGGGTGAGTAAAGTGTATTTTTTTAAATTACAATTAACTGAATGAATGACTGAAAAGTCAATTTTGCCCTCAGAAATTTCCCACGATGACCGGAAATTGGTTAAGTGCAATTTTTTGCAAAGTAGTATGGGCAAAGTGTCACAAAAAAAATTGAGTGGGTAAAGTGCAAAAAATCCTATAGTTAGGTGGGTTAAGTGTAGGTTTTCTAATTATAATGTAACGAAATGTTTTTATAACAATTCACCACATGTTGTGACACATTAAATACACGCACATATATATTATTAATATGCTCCAAGGAATAGCTCGGTGAACTGTTTAGATCATAGTTCGAGCTTATGTCGTATGGATAGTGCGAGGTGACTCAAGAGGCTATAAGCCGATACACACATCTCGGAGGTCATATCAGCAATATTGAAGGGAGCAAGCCTCAATGTCGATCTAACTTGAATACCAATTTGACGAGTGTCGTCGATCTAAGGGAATGTTTGTCGAACTAGGGAAATATTCTTTTACCATCTTTATCATAATAAATCCTCGAATATAACGAGTTTACTTATATCTGCAGCAGGACCTACTGAAAAAAATAACTTTGGTTATATTAAAACGCTCTTCTGGAGATTCTTCTCTAATGACACTTCACAATAGTTTACAGGTTGACAGGTTACTGGAAATCGAGTATGTGAGGAGCTGATGTGAAGAACATCATATACAATAGTAACTGTAGAATAATATGGATTACTATCATCATCCTATTTAGGATTACAAAAATTTAACTTTTCGAATTCGTAATCGTAGAATAATATGAGTAGTGCTGAAGTCCATAAGGAGAATTGAATCATACTTTATAATATCGAATTCGTAGTCGTAGACTAATATGAGTAGTGCTGAATTCGTAATCACACACCCACAAGTGTGTGTAATCGAGTGGTGTTGAATCTATAAGGAAAATTGAATCATAGTTTATAATAACATAATAAAAAGTTGAAATAAGAGGTAAACTGAGTATTCAAACAAACGAGAAATGCTATGGAGCCAACCATCAATGTTATAGTGCCACGTAGGCCATGTGCAGTTAATTATTTTTTCACATGACCTACGTGACACTATAACATTGGTGGTTGACTCCATAAAGGAACCAACCATTGGCTCCATAGCATTTCTCTCAAACTATATATTCAACACTAATACTTGTTACGCACAACTTTAACTATATATATTATATTATTTTTCTTGAAAATAGATAAAAAAAAAAAAAGATAAATTATGGAAATTGAGAAAATCATTTTTAAGGCTTCATTTCATTCTTGATAGCTGCAACTAAATGATCATAGGCCACACTCCATGCCCCCTTCATCTCTTCTGACCACATTTCTCCACTTGCTTCCTTTATTGTCTCCAATAATGAAAATTTCACAACCTGTAATTAATATTTCCAATGTTTTTACATAAGAATTGCTTCATCTTATTTATTTATAGTATTATAATTATTCACAACAAGATGTCTTAGAACTTATATTACCTCAAAGTGTTCATTCACGACGCCAGATTTAACGTGTACGGCACCAAGTTTTTTCAGAGTTGAATCCCTAACCACAACTTTCCCTGCTGTTCGGAGTTGAACGGCAGCTTCACATGTCTGCAAAATTAAATTAATTAAGAGCTTTCAATCTAATACTAACATATAATTACAAATTTAGTATATTTTTTCATAAAATTTATAAATATTGTATATATGTCACAAAGACTAACCATGACAAGCACAGTCTTGGCATGTGCTTTAAGCTTAGGATTCTGGGCAAGTGGAACAGTTGAGTCTTTTAAAAATGAGAACAAATTTTGAGCAGATGGTGCTATTTCAAATATCCTAATCCAATAATCACACAATTAATTTCATGAAAATGAGTTATCATAAATTAGAAAAAAATAAAACTGGTAAAATAGTACTCAAACGAAAGATCATATTATTATTCAGGTTTCGTACTTGAGAAAAAACTTGAGCGCCCATTCACCAGAATCCTTCTTCATCAAGTTCCACGACTTTAATACCAAAGCTTCTTGTTCTTCGGTAAACAAAATTGCATCTCCATCTAAACAAGCAACAAAAATAATTATACAAATAAATCACATACATTTCCAAAAGTAATGTATGAACATAAAAAGGAAAAAAAAAAAGATAAAAAATAAATTGAAAAAAATTACTAACCACTTGTAGTATTGGCCATGGCTTAATGCTTAGGAAAAATTTAGGAATTATGATTTGAGTGTGTGTTTGACACAAGAATTGATTGGTACAAGTCTTATATAGTGCCATGAAATTGGCCCTTCACAAGAGTGTATAGCCAAAGTGCAATTTAAACTTTATTAAAGAAGAAAATTTCAAATTTGTCAGCATGTCATATAGCAGTGAATGGATTAAATTAAAAGATAAAGTTGAGATATGATTGCAGTGTATGAAAAATAAAATAAAATCGGGAACTGTGCGAATAGTTGAATATTGCAGGGTGTGTGAATACTTTGCAATGTTTATGATTTAATTAAAAAGCTTTTAAAGCTTTTTATATTTAAATATGTCCCATTTGATAGGATGAACATTTTATAAAATTTCGAAATAAATTTCACATGTGGGTAGCAAAACAATATTTCCATTAAGATTTTTATTTCAATTTACTTATCAATTAATTTTTCAAACATTTTTTCAATCATTTCCATTTATAGCAATTAGTTTTTCAATTAACTTAATATTATAAAGTTGAGATATGATTGCAGTGTATCAATTAACTTAATATTATTTTATCAACACCCCTAGATGAAATCTAATGAGACAAATGATGACGTCACTACTGCTTATATCATGCATGACCAAGCCTAATATACTCTATATCTCCTAACTTGTAATTATAACATCATGCATGAACAAGGGTGGATCTAGTTCATTATATGAATGGAATGGGAGTATATTTGTTTTTAGAAAACAAATATAATACATCACAATAAAATAAAAATATAAAATAACATTCATATAAATTCTTTTGAGGTTTTATAGTTTGGTATGACTGTACAATAAAATTTTTACATTTTCTTCCGGTCTAACAATATTATAATTCACCTCAAGTATATTTGGAACTAAAGTAGCTAATTTTAAAATATTTTCACATGCAATTTTTTGTAAATAATATTTATAAAAATATTTTTCTCCACAATTTGATACAAAAAAAAATTATAAATGTATAAAATATTTTATCTAATATATCAAACTTTTAAGAGCCCTACAAGTTATCAATTACACACAAATTTAAAAATGTTAATAGTCTTTTAAGAATAACATTCAATTAACTACAAAGTTTAAATTTTTAATTTCTTATATCAAATATAATAAAAAAAGAACTAGATTTACTTTCACCAAAATAAACAAGAATAATGATTTTTTCCCATTATTTCTTTTTTTTTTCTCTTATTTGTGTTCCAATTGTTTTTTATTTATGTTTATATTTATTAATTGAGTATTAAATTATTTATTGAGTAAGGTATATAAGATAGTTTTTTTTTTTCAGTGCGGGCCTAGACCCACACTGGTCCCTATAAGGCTTCGTCGTTGTGCATGACAAATAGCCTAGTGCCACTGCTTTGTACTTGAGACTTCAGAGACTAGAGGACAATGTTATAACTAGGCATGGCCCCGGGCCATTCCACTGATTTGACCCCGGACATTTTTTTAGTTTTCAAACAGTTGGATTGTTTTCGAATTGGAACCGACAGTTCAGCCCTTTTTTTTTAAAAAAAAAAAGTAAATTTTTTTATTTTTTATTTTTCTTAATTGAACCAGACCGACCCAGAACTGTCGGTTCACTAAATCGGCCCGTGCATATGTCCGGGTCAGTTCAAATCCCTCCGACCCTTGGCCCAGAACATACGATTCAGACTCGAAATTGGCCCAGAATTGAGAAACAGTCATGTCTAGCTATAATGTTAGGCAAAAAGTACTGCACATACACATGGTCACGGACTGACCCGGCCCAGAATTGGCCCGTGGTCTGTCGGGCCAGTTTCGGGTCTCATATATGCACTTTTTGAGCCGTCGGGCCAGTTTTGAACCGAAACCGGCCCAACAATTCTACCAGTTAATTGTTTCATTATTATTATTTTTTTTTTAATGAACCGGCCTGGCCCGGAACTAGCGGTTCACCGAACTGGCCCATGCGTATGTTCGGGCCGGTTCATGGCTAGCCAACCCTTGGCCTGGACCCGACGGTTCTGACCCGAACCCGGTAGTTCCGACCTAAAACCAGATTTGGCCATGTTTAATTGCATAATGTTTGTAAAGTTTCGCAATAAATAATAGTATATTAATTTAGTGTTAGTATTTGTAATAAAATGATCAAAAATTCTATGGAGTCATCAGATGGTTTTCTTATGGAGTCCTTCACCATTGACTCATGTCCAAAATGTATTTATTGCAGGACACGTGTCAATACACTATTGATGAATAAGTATGGATGACTCCATATCAAAATCAGATAGAATCATATCATGTATACATTACGCCAAATCATATATTACCATTATGTTTATGCATAATATCTTTGTATATAAATGAGTTATAAACGTTTTCCTCAAATGTTATCAAAAAAATATTTTAAATATTATAGCGGTCGGTAATATTAGATAATGGATATCGATAGTCTAATTGGTTTGGTAACATTTTAAATATTATTTTAGCCGAAATATATCAATAGTCTGACCAGTTTGGTAACATTTTAACTATAATTTTAACCAAAATATCGATTTCATAACAGTAAAAAATTCAATTTTATGACAAAAGACTAAGCAAAATACCACTATTATTATTATTATTTTGTATTTTGTCAAGCTTCTTTTAGATAAGTTGAAAGTTTTACACTTAATTTTAATATACTGACATTCTTATCAATATTTAATCAATTGTAGTATTACTTAAAGTTGATTTATATATCATCTATATTATATAAAATATTTATTAAACCTATAAAATATGCAGTAAAACCAATTGAACACCAGTGAAGTATTCAAAAACCGACTAAAACTACCAACTTCGAAAAACAGAAAAATTACTAAGTAGAGAAAAATTACATTTTTGTCACCACCAATAAAAAGAAAAAAATCTATTCTGATCATCACACAACTGCATGTCAAAAGAGATTGGAATATACAACAAACAAAGTAATAAAAAAGAACCCTAAAAATTCAACTTCTCTCCATTTTTTTTTCTGCAGGCTTCAAAAATTCAAAATCTCACCCACACCCATAGCTCACATCAGGCTTACCCACCATCGAGTCGAACGGGACCTCGACCCTCTCCTTGACGACGCACCGCGTTTCACCATTCTCCGTCACAGCCACCTTCCCTGGCGGACACCTGTCCCCATTCTCCTTGGACCCCTCAATCCCAAAAAGCTTCTCCCCATTCCTCTCCAAAGAACCAGCCAAGCCCATTATAGCCACCACCGCAAAAACAGTCAGGCCCGTTTTAACCGCCAGCCCAATCACTCCCCCAACCCACTTTAGCGGGCCCCACGACGGGCTGCCTGGTTTTTCTGGCACACCGCCATTTTGTAGTGGGAATTTACGGGCATGCCCGTTGTTTTCCGGGCGGCTAGGGTAGGGCGGGAGGAGAAGAAGCTCGGGATTATTTTCCTCTGCCAGGCTGGCGAACGAGATGGCCTCGTGAATGACTTCGAGTTCCGTGCCTTTGTATTGTTTGAGCTCGTTTAGTAGCTTTTTCTGGCTGTGCTCGATTTCGGCCAAAGCTGCTTCCCTTTCGTACCATTGCTGCTGTTGTAAGGACTGTAAGTGGGAAAAAAAAATACGCGGTCAAAATTGAATCTTGGTAATAAAATTTGAAGCTTGGCAATAAAAATTGAAGCTCGGTAAAAAAAGATTATAATTTGTTAATGTCTAAAACTTATCAATGTTGACTTAAAACACTTTGAGTAGGAAAATTTTGTATGCAAAATTTTCATTTAGGCTTCAGCTTAAACAGAATTATACCAACCAAGATTATATACAATGATGGGTATTACCTGAAAGTACACTTGGAATGTTCGGATGGGATGTCATCTACATTATTAGTATCGCACGCACATAAACATGTTTAATTAATTAATTAATTGTAAAGCTGTTGTGTGATGTGCCACGTCAGCAATTTAAGGGGATAAAAACAACTAAGAATTCATAATTGCAAGCTTCGAAACATGGCTCGAATTGGCTTAAACTAAAGCTTAATCAAGCATATGATTCAAGATAGTAACTTGAAGTTAGCCAAACTCCTTAGAGGGGGCAAATTCAAATATTTGATATCTAATGATGCAGAATAAGTTTAACTAGAAAACCACACAAATCACAATCACATCAAGAAGGTAAGTGCTTATATCCAAGTGGGCTATACTCGATTTAAGATTCAGTTTCTTGATTATACTCGAACATATTATCTATCTAGTCCAATCATTTAAAGCCATATCAGCAAAGGGACCCCACATGAATGTCCTATGACTCTATTCTATGTTTGTAACAAACAAAATCCTCACATTTAGTACTAAGAGAGATCTTTCCCTCTCAATCTTCCGTAAAGTAATAAACCAACATCGACATAGGAAGAAAACAGAAAATATCAAGACTTTTTGCCAATCATTTCAAAGAACAAAGTCCATAAACTAGATACATTCTTCAAATTAATCATCATTTATTTAGAGTCCCAATATTTGTATGTTTTGCCTTATAATTAATATTATATGAATACAGCCTTTCCAAAAGAAATTTGCATCCACTCGCCAGATAAACCTATCAGAATCTCAATCATTCAAAGCACTTCACGCTAGGAAATTTTCCTGTTCAAATTCCATTATTCTGGAAAAACTTCAAAAAAGAACAAGAACATCATGCACATAACCCCGGACATAATCTTTTACCAAATCACTCGAAAATGATTAACACCTTAACATAACACTCACATTGAGTGGGACCTACTAAAAATAAAAAAATCAAGTGGACCCACTCCATGTGAGTGTTATGTATACCTCTATGTACATTTATTATGTACATGTAGCATTTAGTTAGGTAGTTCTAACCATTAAGCCAACATTATCCTTTCACAAAATTTGCATACTTTCGTGCAAAATGTCACATTGTCAACCACCACATAAACAGAGCTATGACATGTTATGGTAATAAATATGCATTTTTGTTCATAAAGAATGACAAGTCGACTCGTCTAACAACAGAACCTTCACATCACTAATCATGATTTTAGGGGTAAACTATGCAAGATTAAAATCAAAATGCAAAGATCCTACCAGCACACACAGATTAAACTGATATGCCACTACAAATGCTTCAATATACTATGTATGATCATCAATAGCCACACACAGTCACTAACAAACAATTAACAGTTTCAATTTTGGGTAAGGAGAAAAAAGAAAAAGGTACCTAAAAACCATATCTCCAATAACAAAAACCCACTCCAGAATCCCTTTGATTCAAAATTTATGAGACCTTCACAATACCAATTAATCCGGCAAAAAAATTAAAGAAACAATAAAAGAGAACCTCATAATTTTACCAAAGAAAAAGCAAGGTACAAAGAATGAAAAAAAAAATAAATTAAATTAAAAACCTGCAAATACGAGAGCTGACCCTCTAGGGATTCAAGTGCATCTTTGATATTGAGAAGACTATCTGCATCATCATCAACATCAGAATCTTGATTTTCTTCATCTGGGCCTGCCTCAGATTCATGGGACTCGATCTTTCCACTTTCTTTTCCCGCATTAAAACTTGTTTTGTGAATGCAATTAATGATTTTAGACCTTAACTCCGAGGTTTTGGCAAGAACCAGCCCTATTCTTTCTTCGTCCATTGTAAAGTTTGCAACTTTTTGCGGTGTTCACAGCCTGGCTGCGTGGGTCGGGTAGAGAGAGTAGGGTTTGGAAGCAATAATCGCCAAAAAAATCCCAAAATCAAACAAATTGGGGTTCGAATTAAGAGTTTAGGAAAAAACCCTTTTGGCTGTGGAAAGCCTCAGGTTGTTGCAAAATGTGCAAAAGGGCAAATTTTTTGTCTGTGGCAGAGTCACAGTGTGTGGTTCACAGCGATTTTTGTGTTGCACAAAGCATAAGCTGATATGTAATCCTTTCCTTTCTCATTTGGGGGAGTGATTTTTAGTATTTTTTTTGCATAGATTGTTTTATATATTAACAATAAAATTAAATAAATAAAAAATCGTGTTAAATTTAATGTAATTATTATGAATATATAATTTTTATACAATTATTGTATTTGACAATGTTTTAGACTCCACCTAGGAGCTAGACCCGTGAGTGAATCTACTTGACGAAATTTAAAAACATTTAATACAACGAGTTTTACTTGGTCATATTTTTTTTTTAATAATTATTAGCAATTAATATAGTACCCAAATGTGACAATCCCTTATCATTGTCGAATTTTTCAATTTAACATATGATATTTTGTAGTTTGAAATTATGTGTCCAACAGTCAACTTCTTTTGTATTTCCACTACTTTTAAGACAATGGTCCAATAGACATAATAATGTGTACTTTCTTGTGCTTTTAGTAATGCATATTCTATTATGCTTAGTCTTGGTATATTAGTCACATAATTGCATGCAAATTATGCTTTGCTGTGTTCTCAGCAGATCAAAGTTGAGTAAATAAGAGACTATCATTGCTAACTTCTGACATTTAATAATGTAAGCTTAATTTAACACAATACACCAATAACATCACATTTTGGCTGTATAAATATGCTAATTTTCAAATCTCCCTTCAGATAATCTGACATAAAACCCAGTTAACATCCTTCAATGAATTAGAATAAAAACCTCCCAAAAACATGGAAATTACATCCAATAAAGAGCCAAAGCACATCAAGAAAATGCACATACTTATACACTCAAACACATACTTAAATTGCATCGAACTGTTTGTATTCAAACTTGACTCAAGATTACAGCAGTTGAAAGTTGAAACAACTCCAAATGACAAAACACCATAATCATCAGTTTCTGATGAATCAAAAATCAAAATCATTCAAACAAATAAGAAAAAAAAGGCAAAAAATGTCCAATTCTCCTACAAGCATAGAAGAATGAAACAAAGTGCCTAAAACCTCAAAACAAAAACCAAACAAAACTCAAAAATTTTCCCCTTACTCATAATAACTTCCTCTACCATAATTCATCTGGCACCAACCATCAAAACCCTCCTGCCCGAACCCATTCGACTCGGCCGGCTGAGCTGGCAAGGCCGGCAATGAAACAGGCCCCACCTGGCCCGGCCCGTAAAAAGACAGCCCGTTATCTTCAAACACCTTACCCTCCACTTTAGGATACTGAACAAGCCCAATCCCAAGCCCAATCCCAAGCCCAAACCCAAGCCCATTCCCTTGCCCAAACCCAAACTGTTGGAACTGATTAGTTGGGCCGGTGTAATAGCAGCCCAAATCAATAAGGCCCTGTTTGGCTCCCCTCATGCACTCGATCCTCGACCGAACATCCTCTGCCTTGCGGGCCAAGGCAGCCGCGAAATCCCGAAGCCCGGTTTCGGGCATGTAGTCCATGAAATCGAGCCACGTGGGATATCGAGCCTCCATATTCTTTTTCCTCTGTTTTGCCAGCTCATCCTCGACTTTTTTGAGGCGGTCGAGCCAGAAGTCGTGCAGCCCATAAGTCTTGGAGGATGAAGAAGACTCATTGTTTTTGGCCCGATAAGACTGGATTATGCGGTGGGCCTGGTCAGGGTTGGTGGGCCATACGTCGGGCTCGGATAGGCCCGTTTCGTTTTTTGGCCCGTAGATGATGATGCAAGCGCTGACGTCACAGAGGATGGTGAGCTCGTCGAGCTTTCGGATTAGGCCCTTTTTTCGCTTGGCGAAGGTTGTGTTTCGGGTTTTTTCTTTGGTTATGAACTCCATGTTCAGCTTGGCCCGGCCCATTATCCTGT